ACTCTTGATTTCAGCTTAGGCCACAATCTCATGGGTTGTAGGATCGAGCCCCGTGACAGGCTCTGCACTGACAGCATGGAGCCTGTTTGGGATTCTCTCTCTCCCTCTCTCTCTGCCCCTCCCCTGCTCACTCTCTCTCAAAATAAGTAAATAAACATTAAAAAAAGTGTTAATTTTTGGAAAGTAAGTAAGATACCCTCCTTTGTATACTAAGTATTTCTAGATAGAGTCCTTTCTTGTCAAGTAAGATGAAAACAATGCAATCCATTGCATAAGCAGATAGAGAAATAAAAATGAAGAATGGCAAAGCTAAAACATTTTATAAAAGTAGATAAATAAAAGTAATGGTTATTCTAGGCGTCCTTGAGCTATGGCAGTTGAGTGTTGGTATGAGAGACAAATGTGACGAAGTTGGCACTCACATGGTACTTGCTTAAAGTTCACGTGAAAGGAGACTTATTAGAAAGCCTACCTGCTTCTATTTTTTTTCCCATCCAGTCAATGAACTTGAACCTTTAACTTGTCTAATTTTGGGGGTGTAACTCCGATGCTGGTTGGGGCACCTTGCCTTCTAAATGGATATAACTGGCTGGAAACGATGTGCCATATCTTGTGCAAAGTCTAGCATTCTCCCAGTGATCCCAAAGAATTCCTGGAGATCTGAGTGTTTGGTTGCCTGGCTCCACCAACCTGCTCCTGATGTTTGTTTGGTTTATGTATCAGCTTTCTCTTCTTCATAGCCTGCTGACTCTGTTCCTGCCCAGACGTACACCTCTGCCCTGGGGTACAGGGCCCAAGTCCTCTCTCCTTTCTCTCTGTCCTCACCCCTTCCTTCCTACCAAGCTCCAAATGCTGCTTGTTGTATTATGCCCCAGAATGCAACTTGGTACATCCCCCTCCCAAATTCACTATAGACCCACCACTGCATAGCAAGGACTGAACACAGAGGCTTCTGCCCTCCTTATAAGACTGTTTGGACTCAAAACAGTATTTTTTCGTGTTGGTAAATAACAAAATTTTATTTTAACGAGATTTGATCATTTGCAATTTGTGGTAATTCAAACAAGGAGCAAGATGGACCAGGGCATCTGCAAACTTTTTCCAGCAAAAGCCAGATAGTAAATATGTTGAGTTTTGTTGGCTGCATACTCTATTACAATTCAAGCAAGCCATAGATAATATGTAAAGAAATGAATGACTCTGTGTTTTAAGAAAGCTTTATTTACAAAAACAGACCAAAATTTTTCTGTTTAAACTATTTTTAGAAGTATTGCCTATTTAACAATACAGATTTTCTTCCCGACAAGCTCTAATACTACTTATTTATATATAAACTATAACTGGTATGTAAATATATATTTTCTTGGCTTAACCTGTTACTTTGAATGAAATGTAAATCATTCTTAATCATTTAAAAGTAGGGCCTCTCCTAGGTAACATCTTATTCACCTAGTCTGAGTTACTCTGAAAGTAATCATATTTTGTTATCTTAAAAAAAAGGTTTTTGGGGCACCAAGGTGGCTCAGTTGGTTTAACGTCCGACTCTTGATTTCAGCTAAGGTCATGATCACAAGGTCATGGAGTTGAGCCCTGTGTTGACCTCTGCACCAAGCGTGGAGTCTTCTTGGGATTCTCTCTCTCTTGCTCCACCCCACCCCTCTCTCTCAAAATAAAATAAATAAATAAATATATTAATTAATTAATTAAAATAAAATTTTTTCATGAATTCATTGGTTTATGTCTGAACAGTATAAATTTGTGAAATGTTCATGTATAGTTTCTATTTTGTTAGTCTATTCTGAATTTAAATAATATTTAGTGCAAAGCAATAATCTGTATAAATACAGTAAAATAACACACAAGACAAAGGAATTAAACATATAGTGTATATTCTTATTTGCTGTGAATATGTACAATACCACTTTTATATTATTGCTTTATGATGGTTATCTCCAACCTTTTTGGCTGTATCTCTGCAAAACTTTTTCAGCATGCATCTTCAAGATATGCATCTTATTTACTTATAAATTATATATAGGAATGACTATTATTAGCTAATATTTCAAGTATATCACAATATACTTAGGGTGAGGCTTTTCATTTATCATAGTCTTACATAACCATGTAGCTAATAGACTTCTGATGATTTTCTTCTGTTTTGGCCAAGCTCTTGTCAGATCTGATTAAATTTGTCATTATTTTTACCCTGTAATGTGGATGATAGAAACCTTTTACTCAGAGTAGAACTGTCAGCTCTGTGACTGCACATTATTTACACTTGCATTTGTATTATCATCTTTAATCTGCAGGTTCCTTGCATACATCTTTTTAGTTTAAGGGTACATATTACAATCTGTAGATTGATTTGGCAGGCCCATCACTGTGCATTTCAGTGCATTCGGAGCAAATGAATGGAGAGGGCAAGGCTCACCCCCTCTGTGCCTGGAGGCCCCACTGTTCCTGGAGGGCATCTCATTTCCTGCGAGGCAAGATCTTCTGTGGAGCTGAGGGCACAATGCCAACCCAGAAGTTAAATACCGGCTAAAATGCTTTCCTTTTTAAAGAAAACAAACATGAATGGAGGTTCCAATATTTTCTTTCCACATCACAATAGATTGTATGTGCATCTGCATAAATCTCACAACTTCTGAGACCAAAGTTGATAAAAAATACCATCTTTTTCTTATGTAAATCTTAATCCTTATATTGTAGCTTAGCTCTTTCTTTGTTTATTTTTTTTCACCCAGCTAGCTTTTAAAACAGAGTCTGGAGGCATCTGGGTGGCTCACTTGGTTGAGCATTTGACTCTTGATTTCAGCTCAGGTCATAATCTCAGGTTGGTGGGATCAAGCCCCATGTGGAGCTCTGCGCTGACAGTGTGGAGCCTGCTTGGGAAATCTTTCTCTCTCTCCCTCTCTCTCTCTGTCTCCTTCTGCACCCTCCCCTTGCACATGCAGTCTGTCTGTCTCGTTCTCTTTCTAAAAAAAAAAAGAATGTGACTAATGTTTCTTTGAATCTTCTGCAGTGTTTCACATATCATGGTTGAGCATTAAGAATACACATATACAAGGGCCCCTGGGTGGCTCAGTCGGTTAAGTGGACGACTTCAGCTCAGGTCATGATCTCCTGGTTTGAGTTCAGGCCCCACATCAAGCTCTGCACTGACAGTGTGGGGCCTGCTTAGGATTCTTTCTCTTTCTCCCTCTCTCTCTCTGCTCCTCCCCCCACTTTCTCTCTCTCTCTCTCTTTAAAATAAGTAAACTTAAAAAAAAAGAGAGAGAGAAGAATGCACGTAGACATGTTTCACTCTAACATGAGCTCCAGGAATGTTTTGTGGACTTTATTGCCTTGCTGAGGAGGTGTGGCATATGTCCTTTTTTTTTTTTTTCCTTTTTGGTAATTTTAACAAATTACTTGCTTGGGCCGTCTCAGTTTATTGTTTATAGCATCTAAATGGAGTCACACCGCATATTTAAACTGTATTCTCTAATTTGCAAAATTAAATGTTTTTGCTCTCATTCTACTGTCCAGGTTAGCCAATCATCTTAATGTGTTGCTGCTACTGATTCCTAGAACATTCTTCTTCATTATTTATGTCCCTGATAAAAATGTTAATTTCAAGAGTTCAAATAATTTACTCTCTGGGCACTTTTATGTACCTGCATAATAAAGTAGATCAGACAGTCCAGGCCTGTGAGGAATAAGGTGGACAGGGTAAGTTCTTGGTCTATGAAGGGTGGCAGGAGCGTGTTACCTTTCATTGTGTTTCATTGGTTTATTGATGCCACACTGACAAGATGTTCATAAAGGCATCCCACTCATTGGCTCTAGGGTTGTCTCTAGAAGTAAAGAGAAACAGTCAACAGTCATTCCCATCTTGAGAGAAGCTATATCATTTTCTTGCTGTAACAGAAGAGTGTCCTAAATCTTAGCTGTATAACAAAATCCCCAGATGGCTTTACAGAAATTCTGAGGCCAGTTAGAATCTCTGGTGTGGGACCAGCCATCTGTATTTTTAAGAGTTCCCCAGGTGATTCCATTGCACAGCCAAGTTTGAGGTTTCAAGAGGCTAATAAGCGGATTAAATCAATGGAAGGAAAATTAAAAGTGTAAGTCTCAATAAAGGTGAAGGAACTCAACAGTAGGAAAAAATTACCTCACCATAACATGGAAAAAAGTTGGGAAAGGATGGAACAATTTTGTAGCTTCAAGTTGAGGTAATAATAGACATCTTCCTTTGATTGCTATGGATCACACAGTGAAGGTTAAGATGTTGGCAGAGAAAACCAAAGATTTATGAATTGATCCAAGAGTGTCTGAAGGACTTTGAGGTCTTTGGCTTTGGATGATGGAGGCTTATGGACAAACCCTTCCAACTTTACATTATCTTTGGGGGCTTTTTGACCTATGGATATTTTTACCCTGGCATGCGTACCTACGCATGAGTGCTCACATTTAACCTAAGGCTGCTTATACCTCATTAAGAAACCTTACGTTTAGGGGTGCCTGGGTGGCTCAGTCGGTTGAGCGGCCGACTTCGGCTCAGGTCATGATCTCATGGTCCGTGAGTTCGAGCCCCGCGTCAGGCTCTGTGCTGACTGCTCAGAGCCTGGAGCCTGTTTCAGATTCTGTGTCTCCCTCTCTCTCTGACCCTCCCCTGTTCATGCTCTGTCTCTCTCTGTCTCAAAAATAAATAAACATTAAAAAATTTTTTTAAAAAGAAACCTTACGTTTAGAAGGTTTATTTGGGTTTGAAGATGTGCCAAGACTCCTGGTCTAGCAAATAAAGATAAAGTGGATCTGTTTTCATCTGTGCCAGTCTTTTGATCTTTATCATATATTACCTAGCTTTTCTCAGAAGAATATACATCATGAGCCAGCCTCTGAGGGCATGGAGCCTTCCCTTCCTGTAGTTCTGGGGTCTGGTAAAGCGTCTTCTATTCAATAAGTATTGACTGAGCATTTGTCAGTGACCCCTGCAAACTCCACTTTGGTTGCAGGAAGCAGTACAAGTATTGATTAAGCACTCGGCTGACGTCAACGCGAGGGACAAGAACTGGCAGACCCCCCTCCACGTGGCAGCTGCCAATAAGGCTGTCAAGTGTGCAGAAGTGATCATTCCCCTGTTGAGCAGCGTCAACGTCTCTGATCGAGGGGGGCGCACAGCCTTGCACCATGCTGCCCTGAATGGCCATGTGGAGGTGAGTGCCCTCATCACTGGGAGCAACAATTCTTACTACAGACTCCCTTAGCCCCAGGTGGGACCTAATCTTAGTGCTGAGGGTTTTAGTGTGATGCTTACATCTGTACACCAAACCTTAGGCAACCATAGCAATTTTTAAATTCACAGCCAGTGGGTTAAAAAAGTAGCCATCACCTCAGTCTTTTCCTCTGACACACATGCCTCACGGTTGTCTGTGACATCATCTTCATACTTTGTGTGAACTCCAGGTTTCTGACCCGCCTTGAGATTTGATGTTAATTTGACTCAGAGTATCTGCATGTTGGTTTTCTTCCAGATGGTCAACTTACTCTTGGCCAAAGGAGCAAACATCAACGCATTTGACAAAAAGGACCGGCGTGCTCTGCACTGGGCAGCATATATGGGTAAGGATTCCATGAATGGAAGGCAAAGTGCAGATACCTGTACCTAAAGAAGCCACAGCCCTGCCATTAACCATGTAGGCCTTCTCTCGGGCAGGCCTGACTTCTTTCCAAGGTTGGAATTCACCCGAGTTAAGATTTGGTCCCTTTTACTGGCATGCATAGAGCACTCTAGTTACACAGTTGCTTTCTCAGAGATTCGTTTACCCCACAGAGAGGAAGAGGGATGAATCATGGCCCAGACCTCATTGAATGGGTTTCAGTCGGGACTGGAGAGTGGCGTGAATTGAGCTTCTTTTGAGCTTGTCATGGCAGCAAAATGAAGTGTTCAAAAAGAAAGAGGGCTGGCTAGCAAAGCAAGGACATAAATTCCATTTGTCCTTTTATTTATAAATATTTTTGAAATAAACAAAAAGGAAGGAAGGGCAGCCCCCTGGCTGTTACGGAGGTTGAAGTGACGAGAGTAACCATGGAGTATCCTGCTTCTGTACCACCGCGAGGCTGGGGCTTGCCACTCCCGCTTCTGCCAGCTCGCTGGGGAGAGATGAAGGGAGCCGTGACATTTCCGTGTTTTTCCTTTTCACTTCTGTTGGCACGAATACCACTCACAAATGACAGACCTCATGGAATTTAGTCTCAGTGTAGACTTGTGGGAAATGAAGAGCTAAGATCCTTCCTTTGTGTTTCTAACTGGAGAACGTCCTGCAATTTGAAAAGCTGATAGGATTCTGTCAGCCCCAAGTTATAAACAACCCGAGTGCCCATCCACAGGAGATTGTGTTGGTGAATTATAAAGATAAGCACAATGGGACACTATCCTGTAACTATAGTGATGATGTCATTAGTATTTATTAACATACAAAGATTCTGTGATATGTTAAGTAAAAACAGATCAATACACAGTATGGATATTATGATCCTCATTTTTGTAAAAAAAAAAAATCCATGCAATCTAAACTATCCATTTGGCTGTCTATTCAGTATACACTGAAATGTCTGTTCAGTATTACACACTGAAATGTTGGCTGATCATCTCAAGGGATTGGCGATTATGGATGATTTTGGTTTCCTTTTAATACCGTTTTGCCTTTTCCGAAATCTTTTTAGTAGGCATACAGGCCTTTTATTATCATAAAAATAATAACATTAATTGTGGGGAGAAAAAAGAGTGGATTGGGTAGGGATGAAATAAATTATGTGGCTGTAGATGAGTCTGCATGGACATTTGTGCTTAAAACATCAGAATCTTAAGATCTTGCAAGCATTATCATTTTTTTTTAAAGACAGCAGGGACTTTTGTGCCGATTGAAGCAGATTGGATGTCTGCATGGTACCTGCAGGACTGGAGTCAAGAGGACATTTGCCAGACTGGTGTTTGTGTAGAGCACACACTAGACTAGTGTGAGATGGGACTCAAAGAACCTGGGGTTTCAAGTTTGTTCTTTGCTAACATATAGTTAAAACATTCGTGTAGAATTGCTTTCAGCATTTGTATGGAATTGCTTTTTGTGTGTCATCAGGATACAAATAGGAAAAAAATATATAGATGACTGTCTTTAGGAATAAAGGACAAAACCAGGACAAAAGATAACACCACTTAAGCTTAAGATAGCACCACTAGTAATTGAAAGTAATTTTTCCATATACAAGTCTTGGGGGAAAAGAGTCAAATTTTAATACAACAAGCCATGGCCAAATGCTCTCTCTGTGTCTCATACACACACACACACACACACACACACACACACACACACACACTTCTCACCCCGCCCCCCCAATACACCCCTCCCTCTATCTCTCTCTTTCTCACACATATGCACACACAATCCCACATGCATCTTAGACCCTTGGAGTTAGTACTTACCTTCTACCCTTCAATTATGAACCATGTTTAGAGCAATGACCCAAAGCATCAAATAATCTCCAGTCACAATATAAAGGCCAAACACATTTATCATACTATTTATATAGTGAGATAGGGTATAAAGAAAAATATTCTAGAAAATATGTCAACAGGAGTTGAAACTAGAAGGGTTTCTATTTAGCCAGTAATTCACAAGAATACTTTTAAGTTGAACCATATGAATTGCCACTTCTGTGATCCACAACTATGGTCAAGCAGCAGCAATATAATTTAACAATAATCTGGAGTTATTCCGATTGATTTTTTTTCTTCCATTAGTTTTTCCAAACCAAACTGTCATTGTTGGACTTTTCAGTGAGGAATGGCAATTGCTTTCAAAAGCATTGCTTTTATTTTAACATATTTTAGGTTGTGGTACTAACATATTTAGCAGGATTTGCAATATTGGTGACAGTAGAAGCTAATAGTGATGTTTTAGGTGGAATAAATCATCAAATTATCCTAAAAAGGCTCACCATGTCTTCTGTTGTTTTGTTTGTAAAGGCCACCTGGATGTTGTGGCATTGCTCATTAACCACGGCGCAGAAGTGACTTGTAAGGATAAGAAGGGTTATACCCCCCTGCACGCTGCAGCCTCCAACGGACAGATCAACGTTGTCAAACATCTCCTGAATCTAGGGGTGGAGGTGAGCTATGTTTAATGCATCAACCCGTGGTGTATTTGTGGGTTTTCTGTTGTTCTGAAATTGAATCCTGTTTGATTTTTAATTCCAGAGGGTAAAAAAAAAAAAAAAAAAAACCCACCTTCTTTTCTAGCGTCCTGTCTTTTTGAGTTTACAGGGGCAATCAATGAAGGGCAATGGGGGCATATAGCAAGTAATGAAAAACCAGAAACAGGCTAACTTTCTGTATCAACATAGAAAATTATAAACATATATGTTGCCTGTAGTACATATTATTAACCTGTTGTTTTTTAAATAGGCTACGGTTCTCCATCCCACCTTCAGAATTCAGCCTTCTAAGTTGTGGTGTACACGCAGAAATAAAGGAGTGAGTGGCAGGGACAAACAGCAGAAATGTCCAATGCTGAGCTGGAGAAGTCAGCCCCATCCCAACCCCTCCCTCAACTAGCAGAACAGGGGCAGTGTGGGGCTTTGGAACATCCCTGTCCCTGGAGGAAAGGAAAACCAAGTTGCAATGCTGAGACTGAGATAGTGAAACCCAGCAGTGCAGCAGTTCTGGGACAGCAGGAGAGAGCCCTGAGCTAAATCCCTAAGACAGCTCTTGGCTCTGCAGCTGGGACGTGGCCGTGGGAGGTGTCGGACGGCAGAGCCAAACCAAGTGGCTTCTGAGCCCAACTCCTAGTTTAGAATCTGCAGCACCTCCCTGCATATCTCCCAACCCTTCTTTTCCCGTTCTCTGTTGAGTTTTGGCTCTTTTCTTCCCTGATTCAGTTCTCTGCCATTTTGAGGCAGTTTTGCCTTTCACTCTTTATCCCTTCCCTTGCTGAAAAATCTCTCCCCATGACTTGAAACCTCCAACTCTTCCTCCCAGTTCACTTTTTGTCACATTCACTTTTTGCTGTCTTTATCTCGGGATGACAGGCATTCCCAGGATGACCACACCGGGACAAGAGAAAGCTCTGAATAATTATGTTGGCAGATGGAAGTTTACTTCCCTTAGTGTAGCCATTAGGCTTTCTTGTGGAAAATGCAATAAAGTGGCTCTGGTGATTTTACCCATCCTGTGTTGGACTCATTTGCAGATTGATGAAATCAACATCTATGGAAACACGGCCCTTCACCTGGCTTGCTACAACGGGCAAGATGCTGTAGTTAATGAGCTGACTGACTACGGTGCTAACGTGAACCAGCCCAACAACAGCGGGTTCACCCCTTTGCATTTCGCTGCTGCCTCCACACACGGTGCTTTGTGTCTTGAACTATTGGTAAACAACGGGGCGGATGTTAACATCCAGGTACGACATTCTCAGTCTCTCTCTGGGCTAAATACCTTTGCGTTGAGCCTCTGTGTGAGCAAAATCAACTGTTGTAAATTATGCCCTGTTTTAGTAAACAACAGCCTTGCCCTGTGTGGGTGTGTTACAGAAACTTAGCTGTGTTGTTACCACAGAAATGGTAGGACCAGCTGGAAGACACTGAGGGTCTAGCCACATGCTTTTGGTAGCTTAGTGAATGTTCTAGAGCAAATACTGGTCTCAGGGATGTTGACTTGGCTTGGTTTCTAATACTGAGGTGAATGTTGAGCTAACATGGCAGAACTGCTTGAGAATCAAAAGGAAAGCCTAAGCCAATGATCTCAGGTCTGCTCCTAACCCTGGCATGGCCCTCCAAAAAGTTTCTCAGGCACTGTCCAGTAGTAAACCCTAGATAGTGGCTTTAGTAATGTAACATTGACCTGGACCTGATAGTCTTTATTCAGCACACTTACTGAAGATCATCTCGTGCCCTCTGTTTAGTTCGGAAGGAGTACTCCAAGATGAGATATGAGCTCTGCCTTCAAGGAATTTACAGTACGGTAAGGAGATAGTGTGCTCAAGTGTTCGTGAGGCAAGAGAGGAATGTGCTGAGTGGCTCGAGAAAATAATAGAGTGCTGCAAACTGTAAGAAGCAGTGCTTATTTCTCGAGGATCAAAAATGGAGCCTGCTTTTGAGCTGAGACTCAGAAGATTGATATCAGTTGATATGAGGAGGGATAGAGAGAATCTGAGAGAGAGCACTCCAGGTAAAGAGAACCACATGAAAGGGTTTGGGAATTCTGGATAGGAAAAGCTCTGGGTAGACTCTAGGTTAGTAGTTAGCTCACTATAACAGGTAACCAAGAGGAACTTGTGCGTGCAGCCCTCACCATCCAGGTTACATCATTTGAATGCATTCAGGTTGTAGCAGAATATCCTAACCTGTACCAAGTGACCTTGTACTCATCCTCAGCTTCTCTTATCCCAAGCACAGAGGAATCTTAAAGCAAGGTCCCAATGTGTTCTGCCTCTGCTTTTGAAAAATTACCATTCCTGAAATTTAATTTTAAGAATATTGGATCAATCTGTTTTATTTTTTTGAGATTTATTTACTTAAGTTATCTCTCTACCCAACTTGGAGTTCAAACTCACAACCCCAAGATCAAGTGTCATATGCTCTACCAACTGAGCCGGCCAGGTGCCCGTGGATCAATCTATTTTAATGACCTTTCCCATTCACTATTAAAATCTTTTTACTTTTTTTGTTACAATTTTTAATAGTGAGGAAATATGAGACGAATTTTCAGAATGGTGATTTATTGTGCTTGAATGAAATGTATGAAAGAAAGTACCCAGGAGCAAGCTGAGATGTGACCTGACCAATGAAAGGGCTTATCAACTAGCTGAGGGGTTTGGGCTTCTATAAGCTGTGGGGACCAATACTCATTATAGAGGTCATGTGATCTAAACTGACAATTAGAAATAGTAATCTGGCCACAGAACACCAGAGAAAAAATTGTATATATGACTACATAAAATTTTTAAATGTTTATATGGCAAAACAAAACAAACCCCCAAAAAACAAAACAAAACAAAACAAAACAAAAAAACGCAGACATAAACTAAATTGAAAGAGGAACAACTCAAAAGAATTTTTTCTGTAATACACATGATAAACAAAATGTTAACACATTTAATATATAAAGAGCTCATAAAAATCAATAAGAAAAAGTCTGATTGGGTACCTGGGTGGCTCATTCGTTAAGCATCTGACTTTGGCTCAGGTCACGATCACAGTTTGTGGTTTCGAGCCCCACATCAGGCTCTGTGCTGACAGCTCAGAGATTGGAGCCTGCTTCAGATTCTGTGTCTCCCTCTCTCTCTGCCCCTCCCCTGCTTACTCTCTCTCTCTCCAAAATGAATAAACATAAAAAAAAAAAAAAAAGTCTGAAAATCTTCTATAAAATCTGGGCAAAGGCCAATCACAAGACTGATAATACAATATCCATTAAACCTATGAAAAATATTCAGTATCATTAGTAACTAGAAAAATGCAAACTAACACACAGGTATATTTGCCTTTAAGATTGGCAAATATGAAAAGAAAGGAAAAAAGTAAAAGAAAAAAAGATTGGCAAATGTGAACAAGACTTGTAATACCTAGTGTTATCAGTGAAAAAATTAATATGCAGTAACTAAATATCTAATTTTTTAATTTAAAAAAGTATGTGTCTGTGTATATGAATAAAAAGAGAAAAATATTTGGAATATATACCAATATAATATCACTGCAGAGAGGCAAAATTATGATTTGGGTTTTTAGTTTCTTTTTTATATACTTGTTTTAATCTTCTGATTGTGATACATGAGCATGTGTTATTTTTATATCCAGGTGAGAAAAAACTATTTTCATTTTTATAAAAAGAAAATTCAGGTGTAGTGGACCTAGAGAGAGGACAATTAGAGAATAAATGAAAGTCAATAAAACTGGTCTAGATAAGAAGTAATGAGCCCAGGGGAGTTGGGACAACCAACAGAAGAGAGAGGCTTCGCAGAAAGAAAATCAATGAAATTTGGATGGATAGGAGATAGAAGAATTGAAGACAAATGTGAGAAATGAAATCTGGTTAAGAGATAATACAGAATAGTAGTTAAGTGTTCAGTTCTGAGGCTGGACTGCCTATATTCCAATCCTAGCCTTGACTTTCAGTAATTATGTAATCATAAACAACCTCTCTGTGTGTCCGTTTATCTGTAGAGTTGGGGAAACAGTAGCTTCTTCTTCATGGAACTGCTGTGAGGACCAAACAAGTTACCTCACATAAATTACTTAGAACAGTGTCTTCCACATGGCAAGCACTCAGTAAACAATTATCGTTATTAAGGGGGATGTTAGGAGAAAGAGTAGGCTTAGGAGGTAAAACTGGTAAGTTTAGTTTTTGAGAAGGTGATTTTGAGCCTTTGGTACAGTCTGAGAAAACCAGCAATGGAAAATGTGATCCTCCAGCATGGGAGAGCAGTAGAAAATAGAAGAAAAAAAATTAGGCTGCCTCATTCACACAGAGGTGATCGATAGTGGAGGTTCAGAGAAAAGGTTGAGGTCACCCAAGGATAGAGTGCATCACAGCATGAGGAGAGGAAGGATGAAGGATGCCAGAAACCCTTTGATCTTAGGATCAGGAAGAGGAGGAAGAGCCAGAGAAAGGGATGAAAAAAGAAGAGTTGGAGAAGATAGAAAGGAAGTGGAGGGGAGTATAATGTCTTCATGAAGGTGGAAAACAGGCAGAAATGAAGAAGAGAGTGTTGAGTGGAGTCAATCCAGGGTGCTAGGTGGGGGTAAGAGACGAAGGGGCATCAAAGAGACTGAGGACCTGTAACCCAAGGTGGGAAGAGTCATCATATGGCGTTGAAGTCACAGAGGACAGTGGTGAGAAGGCAGGAGGTTTACAGGTGGCCAAACTTCTTGTCCCCAAAACTTGTGACACTTGTATTGCCATACTGGTATCTGAAGGAAATCCTTGAATTCTCCAAAGAAAGGAAAATTATTGAAGTTAAATAAAATAGCTCGCTTCACCAACCTTCAGTTAATTAATTCAAAGAGCTGTCTGATGTTCTCTATTCCCTCTTCAAACCATGCCAACTGGTGCTCTCAGTGTACCTGAGAACAAGGCTAGAAGGCCACTTTCTGGCACACCTCCCTACTTCTCCCAGTTAACTATGCTGTCTCAGTTTATGGTAGCCTTCTCTCTCATAAAATGTGCCTGGAAAGCATGACCACTTAATTTAAAGAATTAATTTTTCCTGTACACTGCTAATCATCAATACAATATGGAAATACCCTTTTTTTTTTTTAAATCTGAGACTTAGGTTTATGTAATAGCTGATCTGTGTCAGTGGGACTTTGGTTCAAATCTAGCCTTCTCCTTCAGTCTCCTTCAATCTACTCTGTTTACATCGGATTTCCTTCTCTTGAATCCTCCTTCATGATTCCGGATTCACCCTGGAGCCATAATCTGTCTCCCATTTCCGTAGAGTCATTCTGTCTGACTCTGGAGGTAGCTTTCTAATTGAAGTTGTTATCTCTGTGTACCACAGTGCTCCCTGGATTTTGAAAGTGTTTGTAGATTCCAAGACAATTTGTATTTGTTTAGATCTTCCAGAGTTTGACAGAAATAGCATATTGAAATGTGGCCAATACCCAGGCACATGTTCACGTTGTTTTCCTCTATCATTACAAAGTACTAAGAGTGATGTCTTCATGAGCAATTACAAGATGATGGAGAGGGGAAGGAGAATGTGTGTCCTACACACATTTTACAATCCCTCATTTTGCTTCGATTGACCATGGCCCTACCTCTGACTTTGTAGTGTAGGTTTAATTATGATAAAATAATAAAGACACAATACTTTATACAATAATCCATTGAAGGTTCACTTGTATTTTGCAAATAGGAAGAGCCCGAGAAGATACAAAATAATTTTTCTTCTCCATTACACATTACATTGTAATTCTGTGGCATCTCAAAGCTCTTTTTGGAAGCATTCGAAATGTTAAAGAAGGCACTAAATACATAGCTATTCCAAATACTACTCAGATAGATTCAGAAATTACCATTGCCAAGTTTCCTGCCTCCAGATGACTAGTATTCAGCCTGCCATGGTCTGAATTCTTTTCCATCCGTGGGCCCTTAGTCTTTTTAGCCCTCAGACACTGGAGCTGAAGCCCATCACACATCTATTGAAGTGAACCAGCTCCCTTCTATATATGTACCAGGTCTGAATTATAGAATGAGTTGCACAGCAGAGGTTAAAGGCGAAATGGGACAGGCAAGAGAAAGAAAGCAGTGATAAGGACATGACGACTTTGGAGAGGATGTGAGGAAAAAAGAGAGAAATGGATGAGGACTAACCATGTACCATCTCTGGCTCTTAGAACCATTTAAAAAATTGGACTACGTACGGCTTTTTGCAAATTAGGGTTTTATATTACTCTTCCATTGAATTAGGAAGCCCTTTTGCGCTTCTGACACATTCCCCCTAACCCTTGCAGGCTGACCTTAATGTTATCTTCTAGATGCTCTATTGCCTTCCAGTAGGACCATTGAGCTCTGTGACTCCAGGAGACATGTGCCACAGACAACACAATGCCTTCAAGTTCCTGGGTAGTAAGAATGTCTGGGTTTAGGGAGGGTTTGGGGGATGTTGGAGGATGAGGAAAGAAGGCATTCAAAGTGAAAGCAATGAAAGGATTTCTCAGGAGAATGGTGGTCAAGGAAATTGAGATACCCCATTTAGTGAAGGATATTTCATTCTGTCCTGGAAGAGTACTAATGTTTATAAAATATTCTTTATCTTTATTAGTTTTTCTTCGTGAGAGTGGCTGAACCATGCCTACATCAATAGAAGGGCTTCTGGCTTAATTTTTAAAAATTCTCAAAATAACAGAATTTTCCAAGCACTAACTACAATGGGGAAATGAGTCTAGAAATAGGAAAGAGACTAGGAATTAAGAAAAAATCTTATAAAAGCAGAGATTTGAATAAATGGAAGAACTGAACATATCCTCTCTTTTGAGAATGCAAAGAATGTTTTATCCTTCTCTGAAGTTCTTAAAACAGCAGCAGTAACAACAAACACCCAGTGTGACAGATATCTCAGGCAGATAATGAAACTCAGTAGGATCCCTAGTCTCAACCTGAGTGTCCTGAGTTCTAACTTGTAAAGACTAAATAAAAAGTATTATCGATTGGACCTTCATTAGTTTCCAATGGCTTTTTGAAATAGCAAGTTCCCTTTACATCCATGCCATATAAACATAATTGTTCCCAAATGGCTGCCATGATTCTCTCAATGCTTCCTGGCCCCACCTCCGGCCACCATATCCCTAAGGGGGAAAAATCAGCTAAGGACTGGACTCAGTGGTTGATGAACCCAGGCAAAGATTGATCTGATATAGCTGTCGTTTGTATTTTATGAAAATTTGGTTGCCCTATTTATTTGTCCCCTTACCAAATGCACAACCACTCCATGGGAGAAAAGGGTGCAGTGTTTTCTGTCCCTGAAATGGAACCAGCATTGTCAATGGCAAGATACAGAAACCAGTTATTTCTGCTTTGGTTCTCTGGCTGCAGTTTAGGTAGTTAGCAGCCTTTAAGCTATTTTCTAGACGCAGAAAAGTTCTTAGCTAAATATTTATAAAGATATTATCTAAACACTGAAATATTTATGGTTTTATATATATTTAACTAAATGCTAGTTAGTTATGTTTTCAATTAAATTTAAGAGAAAATATTGGAGCAAAATTTAAAGAAATAGCACCACCTAGGGACAAGTTAATGTCAACTCTGCAATTTCTGCAATTGTGTCCTTATTCTCTTGGTTGCTGATCCTTTTCCTCTAAAAATATCATTTCAGTAAAGACTCAAGCTTACTTCCATCTTCCTTTCTTAATCTTTTCTGACTCAGCTTATAATCATATAAGGATCCTATTTTTCTCCCATCTTCCTGTTGACTTTTCACTGTAAAGATGATTTTTCAACTGATGCACTTACTGCTCTGATTAACTCTTTCCTTGGCACAGAGTGTGCATAACTCCTTTCTTACTTCCTAAGGGATGGACTTTTAGGACATAATAAAAATTCTTCTGTTAAACCCTTGTGGTTTTTATAAGCTATTCCAGCCCACAGTCTAAAGCCTTTTTATGGCTGCATAATATTCCTCTGTGTGTGTGTGTGTGTGTGTGTGTGTGTGTGTGTATGTACCACATTTTCCTTATCCATTCATCTGTTGATGGACAATTATGTTGTCTCCATATCTTGGCTATTGTAAATAATGCTGTAGTAAAAGTAGGGGTGCATATATCTTTTTAAATTAGTGTTTTCATTTTCTTTAGGTAGATACCCCATAGTGGAATTACTAGATCATGTGGTATTTCTGTTTTTAAGTTTTTGAGGAACCTCCATACTGTTTTCCACAGTGGCTGCACCAATTTGCATTCCTACCAACAGTGCATTTTAAAGCACAGGTATATGGGTTTCATTTCAAAAATGAATTTGCATTTTTGACATCTCATATTTAACCTCAGACTTTGGAAAATGTTCCTCCTGAGACTTAGAAAAATGAAGTACATGTATTTCTTTCTCTTCTTTTTTTTTTTTTTTTTTTTTTTTTTTTTTTTTTTTTTTTTTGTTAACAATACCTGAATGAAAGGATACATTCTGTCCTTTGGGGATACTTAATATTTTCTTTTTGGTGTTATTATTTTCAGATGAATTCCTATAAATGGCTATTTCTTAATAAATATGTAGGACTTTGGTATTTGGCATAATAATGATCACTATATAGATTTTTGTACATTTTTCATGTTTTTTGCTTAATCTCCGTCCAGGAGTTCTATCATTTATATCTTGAATAATAAAGACATGTGTAAATTCAGCACCTTTCCAGGTGATCATTAAAATGGCAATTTGTTAAACCATTGCATGTTGTAATCCTGTGATTTCTAATGAGTTAAATGAAGCATGCATTTCTGTTTTGGAACAATAAAAAGTTGTGCTATGGAATTCGAGTATAGGAAATGGTGGAGGGTTCCAAGTCTGTTTTGAGAGTTACAGTCATTTATAGCAGCATAGTCAACGTTAGGTCAAACAGGGCCAAGCCAGTTAACACATCATTTGTCTTTTCTCATGTACTTTTGACAAAAGTTGAAAAAAAAAACCACCTTTGAGGAAACCGTCTTCATCAGTAAATCACAGGAGAGGAAAAAAACATTTTGGATGATTGTTTCGGTTTGAAACAGGATAGTTTAAAAATTATCAGTGTAACTAGACATTTCACATTTCCTCTCTAAAATAATTTTCACTTCTTGGGGCGCCTGGGTGGCTCAGTCCATTCACCATCTGCCTTCAGCTCAGGTTACGATCTCACAGTTTGTGAGTGCAAGCCCCACATTGGGCTGTACGTGCAGAGCCTACTTCAGATCATCTGTCCCCTCCCTCCCTCTAGGTCCCTCCCCGACTTGTAGGCACGTGCTCACTCTCTCTCTCTCTCTCTCTCAAAAAATAAATAAAACTTTAAGAAAATAAATAAAATGCAATGTTATGCAGTCACTTGAGGCTTCATATATATTTTACCTTTTGCTTTCAAAATTATCATTGGCTTCTTATAATTTTTTATCATATTTAAAAAAAATTAAATTGGTTTTTTCAAGGCATTGGCAGTAGTATTCATAGGGATGTTTCAGATTGGTGTCACTGATCAACTGTTTCTCTCACCCTCATTTTTTAGAGTAAAGATGGCAAAAGTCCACTGCACATGACAGCTGTCCATGGAAGGTTCACACGGTCACAAACTCTCATTCAGAATGGTAAGAGAGATTCTTCCGCAGTGTTGTTTTTTGAACAGTGTCCTGATCTGAGCTTGTCTGTCAGTTATCTGGACATGAAAGATGATGCTCTGTTTTAGATAATGGTCTATTTTATGAAGCTTAGATTTACACCGTCCTTTGATGCACTTTGCTAAAAGCTCTTTATCAGACATATCATCCCCATCCAGCTTAGGAGCAAGAACATAAAGCCACTATTTCTCAGTTAATTCCCAGTCAGTCAAAGAACATATGAGTTTCGAAACTGGAAATGATGTCCTTGTATGGGCTCAAGGTCCTGCATTCTTCACTCAGAATCTAATACAAATGACTATCATACATTTTCTAGCAGCAAATCGTATTATTTTTAACTTTTAGAATTCACCATAGTTTGCTAAGTTAAACCTCTTTAAGCTACTTGGACAAAGGTAGGAAAAATGAGATGACTCAGAGGAAAAGCAATTAAGTGCCTGATATAAAGGATGATAAAGTCACAGGCTTGATAGAAACCTTGGAAAGTCACGTAACCTAGTAATTTTCCAGTCTCACTTGGAAAGGTGTACTTAAACCACTGGGTTGTCTCTGTAGCCAAAGTACTAGGGAGTATCACTTCACATTATGGTTTATAATAGTATTATGGGTTGTGGCCAGCATCTGTGAGTGGATTGACCTTGACCACAGTAGAACTACTGCTTTCTTAGCAAATCTTAGACACAATAAAAAAAAAAAAAAAAAAAAAAAAAAAAAAAAAAAAAAAAAAAAAAAAAAAAAAAACAGGTTTAGTGCAAAATTTATGCTGACATTCCAGGTAAGTTCAGCAGTTCCTAAACTATCTTTAGTTGACCCACGTTTGTACTTTTTAAAGTTTTGGCATTAGTCAACTTCTTGGACCTGTCTTTTTCTCATCTTTAAAAGCTTTGGATGAATTGTTAGTGGTACTGTGTTATATCTTAGATACCGAAGTCGTAAAACCAAAAAGTCATTTGACATTTGGATGGAAGATCAGCCAGGAAAATTATGCTTAGGAAGCAAAATATCTGCAGCAGAGTGAAGGAAATTTATAAGCATTTCAGTGTAACTATAGGGAAAAATAAACCCTGACAGGTTTCCAGTGAACAAAGGAAGATAAAATGAAAATTAGTTGCATAGCACCCATTAATTCTAATTTGAAATATGAGGTATGTCTTTGACATTCAGTTTATTGAAAGGGCCACATTAGTTGTTTTGTTTTGCTTGATGTAACAAGGGGAGGTGGGGAGTGACCCTCGAAACTCTTATTCTCACACTTTCTTCATCACACATGTTTCTCAACTGTTTTTTCAGAAATAGTGTCCACTGCCTTAAAAATAAATAAAACCAGGGTGATTTTTGGATCCATTTTTTAAAATTTAGTGTGAATTTGGGGTGCCTGGGTGGCTCAATTGGTTAAGTGTCCAACTCGTGATTTTGGCTCAGGTCATGATCCTGCAGTTCATGAGATTGAGCCCACATTGAGCTCTGTGCTGACAGTACAGAGACTGCTTGGGATTCTCTTTCTCCCTCTCTCGTTTCTGATCCCACCTCTCAAAATAAATAAATAAACTTAAAAAATAAAATTTAGTCTGAATTTAATCAATAGGCCTTACTTCTTTGGTATAAAAACTTTGCTTCCTGTTAAAGCATATTCAAGAACCAGTGATCAGATCAAAGAGAGAGTAAGTTTTCTCTTTGTGCGTACTGCCTTCCTACAGGTCCTTCCCTGTGGCCAGACCATACTGACCATCTCCTTTATATCAAGCCCATGACGCATCTCCCTGTGTAACGTTAGTGTGCTGACAGCAGTTTGGGGGTGTTGCTGGCTGTTTTGACCTCTCCAAAAGCCATTCCAGTGGACTTGAAAGACTTCCATGCCTTCTCCAGACATTGTTGCTAGATTTTTGAGTTGCGATGAGACCTGAAAGAGAACCCACCTCTTGTCCTCTATGATCAAGGAGCTTGTTCAGAGCCTCATTCTTGGCTGGCCTGGAATCTTACTTGTGAGTTGGGTGGGGTCCAGGGGCCTGAAATGATGAAGATATGGTGGCAATAATACATAGCCCATTATATACAATGATACAGCTAATGTTCATTAAGTGTTCACACTGCCAGGTGCTTGAGTAAGCACTCCACATAAATCCTTTCAACCACCCCATGAGAAAGAGGTGCTGTTGTCATCCTCATTTCAAAGATGGGGAAACTGAGGCATGGAGGTTGTCACTTCTGTCAGGATACATGGCAGGTTTGACGAGGAACAGGGATTGGAACACAGCCAGTCTAACATCAGAGACCGAACTCTCAAGCACTACACTTACAAATGCATCTCTGGATGCATGGTGGCATATTTTTTTTTAATTTTTTAATGTTTATTTATTTTTGAAGGAAAGAGAGACAGAGCGTGAGTGGGGGAGGGGCAGAGAGAGAGGGAGACACAGAATCTGAAATGGGCTCCAGGCTTTGAGCTGTCAGTGGCAGAGCCCGACGCAGGGCTCGAACTCACAAACCATGAGATCATGACCTGAGCTGAAGTTGGTCGCTTAACCGACTGAGCCACCCAGGTGCCCCGCACAGTGACATATTTAAAAAAAAATTTTTTAACTTGAATTATTTACTCTAAGAGTCACATATCTGGAGTAGAGTCGTCCCTGTGGAAGGATGATTTGCCATTCTCTTCTGTCAGCTGACAATTCTTTGCATTCATTACACATCTGAGAACTGTGAGTTCTTCCATCTGACATTTTCAAAAATGCCCTTAGGGAGAAGAATAGGAAGGTCTTTTCTTTCCTTCTGTTTGCTGGCTTCCTTCTGGGAAAAATCCAGAGGCTCACACCCCCGGACCTGGTGTCTGTCCTCCAGAATGGGTCACTGCACAACCGGACTCGGAATGCTGGTCCCACGTGGGGACATCAGTTGGCTCCCTAAACCAACTGAGCATACTCCTGAGGAACATTCTTTGTGTTTATTTATTTGTTTTGTTACATCACCCTGGTGTTTGGACTTTGTACGGCATTTCTCTACTTCCCTGACTATTCTCTAGTCAAGAGTTATTAGTTCTTCATAACTTTGTTTTTCCAGGATCATTCAGCATTGGTGAGACAGTTGTGAAAAAAGAACAAAAAGAGAAACAAACAGAAAACACACACACACACACACACACACACACACACCCCTCTTTTATTTTTATAGGTGGTAGTGGACTACCTCTGAGGTTCAATCACGTTGTTTGTTGTCTGAAGGTATGTTGCCCCAGCCACTGTGTGACACTGTGTGATACTGGGAGGCATGTGATCCAGCCATTTGCACTAGGCAGCTGCCTCAGATGCTGTGCAGCAGGTTACAAGAGTTCAAATGTGATGTTTGCTTCATGGAAGCTTTAAAAATAGAGTTTAAAAAGGAAGAGTCAAGTGATAGGTTAGGATGATTCATTGTGAGATTTTTGACCTTTTGGCTCACAATACTTTTGAGGCAATTTAATAAGATGACCATTCTTTTTATTTATGCAGGAAAAACTAACTTCAAAGGAATGTTTAGATAATGCTGCATAAATTATCCTTTCTGACATGCTTGGCATACTTCTAAATTCACGGATGTTTATTTTCCTCACTAATTATCAGTAATCAATTACCGGCATTTAACTTGCAACCATCAAATGAATTGTAAAGGTATTTAATTTACAATCCAGGCAAATCTTAAAGATTTTCAGGTGAAAATGGAAAGGTTTGGGGAATAACTGTAAAATAGAAATTCATTCATCTAGAGGTCCTACTTTAATATAAAACATATTTCTGAATAACAAATACAATCTTTATTTTTCCACTAGTTAAGATGTTTTTCTGAAATATATTTTAAATGACAACAAATGCATATGTGGAAAGTAATTAAATATATGTTTATAGTTTTAAATTGACTTATAAAATGGTAGTAACAACAGGAAGAAATTTATCAACTCAGCCCCTTACCTTTTCCAATATTTTTCACTCTTTTCTTTCCCTACCCAATATTGGACATATTTGGGGCTATAAACACGGAGGCTGTAACACTTCTTAAGAAAGGTTTGGTGCCTCTTGGCTGGGAAGGACATGGAGTGATGCAGTATTTGTCCAGAGCAAAGGTTTCTCTGGAGTCTGGGAATCTGCCTCTCTCATCTCCCTGGATCAGCTCTGGGGGCTGGTGGGGGCGGGGGGGATCTTTCAGGCAACCACTGCAGGCAGTTCTTAGATACATGGGCCCTGGATTGCTCTGAGGTATCTGTGGAGACAGTATTGCAAATAGTTTCACCTGTGTCGGTTTATTGTCAGGATATGGGGAAAACCTTTCTAACCTCAATGCAAAATCTAAATAGTATAATAGAAAAGACATGAATTCCAAAAATTCAGAGTGAAAAACAAAGAAAAATGAAAATCTAGGGTGAAAATATTTGTAATACGTATTACTGGTAAATGGTGAATCTCCTACGTATTTTAAGAGTCCTTGAAAATCAAGGAGTAAAAAAAACTATACACGTACACACACACACTTAGAAAAATGGTCAAAAGCCATGAATAAATAGTTCATGGAAAAAGATAAATAGTCCTTCAGTATAGGAAAAGATGCTCAACTTTTCTTATTATGAGAAATGCAAATGAAGACTACACTGAGATAGTACTTCCCTCCATCACATGGCAGGTATTCAAAGGCTTGATTAGGCTGTGGGGAAAAGGCACTCTCATACGTGGTTCGTGTGAACAGTAAAATGGCACAGCACCTGAAGGAAGAAATATGGCAAAATTGAACAAAACTACACAGTTCTTTCTTTGACCGAGAAACTCCCTTTCTAGGAATTTACCCTGAAGATTCACCCCACAAATAGGAAACAACATATGCATGAGTTTATTCACTGCAGCATTCCTGATAATAGAAAAATGATATTTACTACCTAAATGCCCACCCTACTAGGATAAGTAGTATATCCATGCAATGGAAAACAATAAGGCTGTATAAAAATGAGGAAGACCTCCAAGAAGTGATTTGTAAAAGTATATTTAGGAGGTTTTCAGGGTATATTGTTAAGTTTTAAAAAAGCAAGGTATAAAGAGTCTGTGTGTTTATTTTTGCCAAGAGAAACAAAGAAAGCATAAACCAAAACTAATGGAAATGATTAGTGCAGGATGTGGTTGAGAATGAAGTGGAAGGGATGGAAATCAGAGTGAGGCTTTTAAAGAATATAATTTTGACCTTTGAATGTTTTACATGTTGGTAAAATTAAATCAAAAGCTGGTAAAATTTTCGGAAACAGACAGAATCCAATGAACTATGTATCAAGTTGATAATATAAGCATCCACAATAAAGAATTCAGGTAACTTTTGAACAAAGTACTCCCTGTTTATGTTAAAATCCTCGCAGGAAACTTTGTTGGGAAATAGGATATTTGCACAGTCTTGAAGTACCACCCACAAATTGCTCGTTAATTACAAAGGGGAAAAGACATTTTGCGGTGGAGAGTTCTGGTGGGTGTCACCTTAACCAAGTAATCAAGCCCCCCCCTTTTTTTTATTGTGTTAAAATATATATAACATAAAAATCTACCATTTTAACTATTTTTAACTGTACAGTTCAGTGGTGCTAACTACATTCACATTTTGCGTAACCAACACCACTGTCCATTTCTAGAACTTTTTCATCTTTCCAAACTGAAACTGTGCGCATCACATAATCAAAATTTGCATCATCTAGTTGAATATCCTGACCTTATATGTGTGCTGTGGAGATGCAATGGGAAGGGCACATCAACTCTGGGGTGTTCTTGCCAAAAATTCAGCCTGAATCTAATCGAGGAAATAATCAGACAACTCCAGAATGCAGGATATTCCACACAATTCCTGGCTTGGCGTCCAAAGATATCAATGACATAGGAGATGAATGAATGAATGAATGGCAGGAGGATTGTTTTAGATTAAAGGAAACTAGAGGGACATGACGACCAAATGGTAGTAGAATCTTTTATTGGATCCCGGACTTAAAAAAAATAACAGCTATAATACGCATTTTGAGGATAACTGGAGAGATTGGAATATGTTGTATGTTACATAAGATTGTGATATCAACATTAAATTTCTTAAGTATACTAATAGAATTGTAGTTGTGTAGGAGAATGTCTTTGTTCTCAGGAGTGAAATGTTACAATGTCTAACTATTTTAAAATGGTTCCTCAAATAAATGAATAGATAGACTGACTGTATTTACATATATATTTATGAAAAGGGGAGAGAAAGAATGAAATGTAGTAAAACAAAAAGCTGGGGGAAAAGAAGACAAAATAAAATAAATGAAAATACTGTATTATTAAAGGGACTATTGGTGATTAATGTGATAGTTTTTATAAATGTAGACATTTTCATTCCATAGTTTATGCATTTATTCATTTTACTCATCATGTTTTAAACCAAATACTCAAACTACGTAAAATATTTTCCTGAACTTTCTATTCTCTTTGGTTCATATGCTTTAATATAAAGTTTTTATAAAAGTTTTATAAAGTTTTAATGTAAAGTTTTTAATCCAGCAGGTAAAAGTAAAATGGAATGTATCTTCAGAATTACATTTTATGGAATTTGATTACACTGTTCCTTCAAAGCAGGAATTCAGTTGTTAAGTTTTTAGATCTTTAAAATTTTTTTGTTTATTTATTTTTGAAAGTCAGAGAGACAGAGCATGAGTGGGGGAGGGACAGAGAAAGAGGGAGACACAGAATCTAAAGCATGCTCCAGGCTCCAAGCTGTCAGCACAGAGCCCGACACAGGGCTTGAACCCATAAACTGTGAGATCATGACCTGAGCGGAAGTCGGACGCTCAACTGACTGAGCCACCCAGGTGCCCCTGGATTTTAGAGCTTTAAATAAGACAATATGGAAAGACTCTTCCAGAGCATTTCTAATAGACTTCCCTCTACGTAGATTTAATAACACTACTACTTTAGATGGTGACCTGATCCCTGTAAAGACATTCTTATACTTCAGAATAGAGATGTATACAGAGGGGAAGAGAAATCAACATTTGGACAACAGGAGTGACTAGCACAGAATGTAGTGTCTGAATCAACCTGAATCCTTATGTTATCCTGTTTTAAAACATCTCTTTCAGGAGGTGAAATTGACTGTGTGGATAAGGATGGCAACACTCCTCTCCATGTGGCTGCAAGATACGGTCATGAGCTTTTGATTAACACCTTAATAACCAGCGGAGCTGACACAGCCAAGTAGGTTACTGCAAAAGGGATTCTGCCATGCAGTAGATCATTTCCATTTATCTAGGTTAAGGTGGATCTGTACCATTGTGCTAAATACAAATTAAATTTAAACTGAATTAAGGGACTTTAAATGATGGATGCAAGGAAGGGCCAATTTTATTTTCAGCTACATCAGTGGTTTTAACCAAGAGGACTTGAACTCTATTCCTAACTCTACTTTCTAATATTCTGTTCTTCCCAATGTTTATTGTTAGTTAAGCAGAAAGCTAAAACATAATTGGACAAATTCAAATTTTATTCAGGGTGATTGCTTGGTTTTAATGATATAATTATGGGGTACAGTTGAGTCAATCTGCTACATTGGGAAGGGGGACCTGACTTCATTTTACATTTCAATTCAAGAAGAATATACAAAGCAGCTGTATAAGTCTGTCACAATGTGGGGTGCGATGGGAAATTTCAGAAATAAGTCACCTGGCTGGTACCTTCAAGGAGCTCATAATTTTGTTGGAGGCCCAAGGGCCTCTTAAGACAAAGAACCATGCAAGATAGTATATAATAAAGTTATATGAAGCAGGACTTAAGTGGCAAAATGTTTGGTGCAGACAATATATACCATAGAGTGTAGCCATGAAGGAAAGAGTTCAAAGGTGGCCAAAGTTTTCAGAAAAGCCTTTAAGCAGAATGTGAGTTTTAGGTAGGCTTTGAAGGATCACAATGATTTGGGTAGAGCAGAAGGCAGCAGACATCCTGAGCAGGGAGGAAAGCAGGAACGAGAGTCACAAGAGTACAGTTCCACGATTCTCTGCCCTGAAGTTGTAATCATGTTGCAAGGGAGCCCAGGTTTTCACGGGCACTACGTGGCTCCAGTCCAAGCTACCTTGCGTATGAACTGTGTGACCTTGAGCCATTGCTTAAGGCAATGTCTTAAGTCTCTGTGCTTTGGTTTCCTCATTTCAAAAATGGAAGTAATAATAGTACTTGCCCATGGGCTTGTTATGAGGATTAAAGGACATAATTATTAGTAAATCTCTCTGCTATAGGTTAATATCTGTATGAGTTACATAAATATATCTGCTAACATTATCAAACAAGATAATCCATGTTAAAAGCTCTTTGAAGAGTGCCTAGCACATAGGAAGCTATCAGTAACTGTTTTTTGTTTTATTACTTAATGATATGTAGTAGAACCAAATTAAAGAGAGTTTTAAATGACTGAATGGGGGCGCCTGGGTGGCGCAGTCGGTTAAGCGTCCGACTTCAGCCAGGTCACGATCTCGCGGTCCGCTCTGGGCTGATGGCTCAGAGCCTGGAGCCTGTTTCCGATTCTGTGTCTCCCTCTCTCTCTGCCCCTCCCCCGTTCATGCTCTGTCTCTCTCTGTCCCAAAAATAAATAAACGTTGAAAAAAAAATTTTTTTTAAATGACTGAATGAAGAGTATAGCTTTGATCACAGAGACTGTGGGAAAGAAAAACTAGATGTTCAGGAAAACGATATAAGGACAGTGTAACGTAAGGAATTCCATTTTATCTGCCAAGTGTTGTGCAACAGAATTGAAAATCTTGCTTGAGGATGAGCTGAAATTTAAATAGTCCATGGAAGGCATCAGTGGGTTCCAGAGACCTTCTGGGACCCCAGTCCAGTGGTGGGAATAAGATCTAGAGCAGATGACTACGGTATTATGAGGTTTGCACCATGCTATGGGAATAGGCAGGGAGACGCTGACTCTGTGGGTTTCACAAAAGAGGGGGCATTTCAGCAAAAGGAAGGATGGATAGGTGTTTGCCAGGAGAACAAAACTGTGTGAGGTTAAAAGATAGAGGGAAAGCAAGAAAGGCCATTCCAGGGAGAGGGAACAGTATTTACAAAAGCACAAGCATGTGCATGTGTTGAAAGCAGATTCCATGCTTGGCTTATCTGAGGTGTGTGGAGGAATGGAAAGAAATTAGGTGCAAAGGCAGAAGAGCCACATCTTGAAGGACCTTGCATGTCCCACTAAGGAGTTGGATTCTGTTCTGAGGCATTCGGAAACTGTTAAAGAAGTCTAAGTGGATGTAGGGACGTTTGTGTCTAATGATCCCATTTGTATGTGAGAAAGATCACTCTGACAATAGCCCGGACGTGCAAGAGGTGGTCCAGACCAGAAACACGTGGCAGTCTCTTGCAAATGTCCAGGGAGGAAAAGACGAGGGCTTGGGCTCAGGGCGAGGCTGCGGGGGGTGGAAAGAGAGGGACATGCTGACAAATAGTAAGAGCAGTGGGCTGTCTCCTTTCAGAATAAAGGACCTTTTTGACTGGGATATTGCAAGCTAAAAGAAACAGTTCAGTCTTGTGGAAAGAGTGCTCTTACCAGATTCTGAGTCCTGAACCAGATCATGGCTCCCCAAAGCCAGAGACTGTAAATGCTCAGTGTTCATTAAGCAGAAGTAGACTAGACACATGCACTTCACCTGTGATATGTTAATATTTTCAGTGGTACTTTTGTTTCAACTTAGGGTTACTTGGGGAGTTTTAACCAAACAACCATGATTTTCTGATTTTCTGATTTTCTTTCAGATTTGGATCCACATGAGGGATAAATGGGGCCCACTACTTACTTAAAATTTCCCAAAATACATTTACTCAATAAGCCCAAAGTTCATTTCTGGGTAATGATTTTGCCTTCACTTTATGCAAACACACACCATGTGGCTAAAGTGCCTTAGAGATGGCATTGTTGTTCAAGTAGACTTTCCTTCCATTGACTGTGCTGTGTCCTGGGGATGCCACTGAGGCAAACATTGTCCCAGCTTCAAAGAGCCACATCTGCTTTTGTCATAGGGGATATCTGGGGATAAGAACGCTCCCTGCAGTGGGGGGTCCTGGGTGGCTCAGTTGGTTAAGCGTCTGACTCTTGGCTTCAGCTCAGGTCATGATCTCACGGTTCCTAAGTTCGAGCGCTGCATCCGGCTCTGTGCTAACAGTGCAGAGCCTGCTTGAGATTCTCTCTCTCTCCCTCTCTGTCTGCCCCAGCCCCGCTTGGGCTGTCTCTGCCTCTCTCAAAAGAAATAAACTTAAAAAACAAAACAAAACCAGAAGGCCTCCTGCAGCAAACTGTGGTTCATTAGCCTGCAATCATGTGTGTTGTGGTGTGTGTGTGTGTGTGTGTGTGTGTGTGTGTGTGTAGTGCATGGGGAGAGAAATCACTTGAGAGGGAATATCAAAATGAGGTGCGAGGTGGGGGTAGTGTTGGAGAAGATTAACTTTGCTAAAGGCCTCTGGAAAATCATTGTGTGATCTCTGGGCTCCTTGTAGATCTATGTAGAGTAGCTTATTAAAGAGGAGGAAAGTAAGACTTTGCTTCTATAAATAAGAAAACAAACAAATCGTATTTATGAAAATTAACCTATCCTCACTCACAAACAATATGACCAAATGTATTTTAAAAGATCTCCATATGACAAATGCTATGGTCCTTACTTTCTTATGAATTTATTTGAATCTCATTCTAGGGCCAAATGAATGTTTTTGGTATTCTTTTTCCTTGTCTGAATTTCAAGTCAGAGCACTTCTGCAACTTGACTCAGTGCTCACGCAACTTTATGTGGTGTCAAAGCCCTTTGGTTTTTCTTCTTTAAGTTTTTTAGGTTTGGGGCACTTTTCTCTGGGATTTTAATTTGTCTTCCACCTTACTGATTATGCTCTCACGTGTTTTTCTGCCTCAACCGCAGCAAAACTAGGGGTATTACAGTTACACAGGTAACTGATTCCAGCATCTGTTCACTCACTAAATGTTTGTTGAAGGTCTGTGAAGTATAACCCCCTGTGTCCGTTTCTGGGGTTACAGAATTCCCTGCCCTCAAGGAATTTATAATTCCACTGGGGGCAAGAAATAAACAAGCGGTTACAATCATGCATGCAAAGTGTGATACCAGAATAATCGCTGGGTGCTACTGGATACAGAACATATGTGGAACATGGCAGGGCTGGGGGTGGGGTTTCCGGAAGGAGCAATGGTTACTGAAGATTGCAAGGTGTGTAGCGATGAGTTAGGTCATGGGAGTCTGCAGATCTTAAGTGTAGACAAATTGTTTTTATTATAGTGTTACTTTAATATGTATAAACGTAAGACTAGATAGAAACTCCTTAAGCTTTTGACTCTATTTTATCAATAAATCCAAAAAAAAATTACAAAACACATGCAAACAGCACTCAACTTTAACAGGCTTACAGTAGTAGCAAACGTTCATGAGTGCTTACTCATGCTAAGTTCCACTCTGAGGAGGAATTACCTTCAATTACCACAACAACTCCATGGAGTAAGTGATATGATTATTGCCATCTTATAGGTGAAGTGAATGAGGCACAGAGAGGTTCAGTTACTTGCCCATGGTCACAGAGCTTGTGAGGGGCTGGAAATGAGACTCTGTCCATCTGGATCGGGAGGTGAGGCTCCTCAGCAAGAAGCTTGCTGCCCCTCTATGTAGTGGACGATATGATAGTGCACAATTTGCCAAAATTCAATCACCATTTCCATGGAGTTGTCTTGGTGGCCAAGGTGCTGACTCTTTAGAGGTCAGTACATGCTGTGGGAGTAGAGGTTTTGCAGTGGCTTCAAACGCAATAGAGGGACCATGAGCTCATCACACAACACAAAGGCCAACTATTGCCAAATTCTGTACATATAGAAGGCTCAGCATACTGCATTATCACTGGCCCTTCCCACGTCCAGACATCATTTGTCTATTAAGTCCACCTTTCTTCTGTTTTTATTGGCCCCTGCCAATCACAGTAGTTCCACATGGCAGCACTGTGACCCTAAATACACACTCGGGCGCTGACATCTGGTGGAGGTCTGTAGTAAGAAGGTGGTTGTTGAGGGAAGCCAAAATATGCTTTTATACCACTTGCTTTAGGTTATCATCAAAAGGAAAAGAGAGTTTAACAATTTCCACAGAGAACTCTTGAAAGCCCAAAGGTATTTCCAGTGGCCTCCAGAGATGCACTAACTAGTTTGAGAAAGGCTACAA